ACACACACACACACACACACACAGTTTTAACTGCATCTGTGGGTGCCTCTGGCTTACTTGGCCCTATACTATCTCTCCACTTCGAGGCTCCTAGGTCAAAACAGAGACGATTGCTCTACCATCCTGAGGCAAAGCTGAAGTCAAAACAAGTCCCTGGGGCTCGGAAGATCTACTTACAGACTGGACACTTTTCTGGCTCTAGCAAAATGGTGGCCGTCCATCTGCAAGACTTGGTTTTAAATTCTCTTTCTTCTTATTGTTGTTTTTGAGACAAGATCTCATTGCATATCCTAGGCTAACTTAGAACTCACTATGGAGCCCAGGCTAGCCTGGGACTCATGATCGTATCTCAGCCTCCTGAGTGCAGGGATTGTAGACATGTACCTTTAGGCCTAGCAGGGAATTAAAAAAAAACCATTCATTGGAACAATCAAACAATTATAACCATACACGTGCTTCCTGCCCCAACACATGCTTTTTACAAAAAACTTAAGGGCTTCCACTTTCTCTGTATTGAAATCAGCCAATTCTGAAGACTTGGTACCTACCCTTCCCTAAGACCTAGAATGGCAACTGACAGCCGTGATTTTGGTTTTCCTTTTAAAATTTAGTTGGATTTTACGCAGGTGGATTGTTGCTTGCGCATACGTCTGTGCACCACACGCTTGGTGCCGTAGAGGTCGGAAGAGGGCATCAGAGTCCCTGGACCTGGAGTTAAGGTTGGCTGTGAATCACCATGTAGGTGGCAGGGACTGAACCAGTCCTCTGCAGGAGCAACACTCCAGCTTCTCCTTTGTTGTGCGGACACAGGGACTTGCTATGTAGCCTTTGTTGGCCGGGAACTCCCTGAGACTCTGGCCTCAGAAGTGGCGATACTCCTGCCTCTGCTTCCCAAGTGCCAGAGTCACAGATGTTGGGGCCACTACACCCATTTATTTAAGGGAGCGTGTGCTGGAATGTAGGCAGGAAAGGGGTTTACAGGCTCCTTTGAAAGTGATGTGAACTATCAAGTTCTCTTCCTAGAAAAATGAACACAGACACACTCAGGTGCCCAGGCTCGGATTTCAGGAAACCCGGGGCCCATGGATATTGCCACTGTGGTAAACTCCCTCAGTTTGTGCTCATGTATCCACCTGAGCTTGTGTCTCTCCTTGTCAGCCTTCTCTGGGGACTCTGGTTGACTTTGAAGTGACTTCATAAGACTGTTTCATCTACCAGCCAGAACTCAGCCTCCCACATACTTTTTGGGGGACGAGTCAGGTTTTCAAAGACAATCGTGAGGTGCCCTTCCGTCACAGGGTCCCTGTGGCAATCTTCAGTGTGTCTCTCTGAAAATACTGTCAGATTTGAGAAGCAAATCCGTGCTTTTTGTGAGGCCGGGCTGGCTATTTTTATCCCCCTCCCCTCTCACCCCATCTCCTGAACTGTGCTGGGGCTCGGCTGATTAGTGTTCTAGTCACGCAGAGAGGCTCAAGGCTCGCAGATAAAGACCAATCAGGGCTTTGGAAAGCAAACTCAACTCCTCCAGCATGGACATGCCGATACTTTACAATGAACATGAGCAGAATAAAATCTGCTTAGGGAAATCGTTTCGTGACTCCCAAGAATGCTGAAGAGACGTGGAAATAAATCCTCGGGCGAGGGAAGATCGCCATCCTTGGCAATGTCTTTTCTCCACTCAGAATTAAGCACTGGAAACGGGGAGTCTAATTTGTAAGAGAGAACGAGGCAGCCAGGGTGGCCCTGGATGGTGCTCAAGGATGGACAGTGTGTACTGCACAGACATACCTACGGCTCAGGAGGTGGGTGGCGCCCAAACCCAGCCCCAACAGTATGGTACCTGCCGAGTCTGCCCGGAAGTGGGACCCTTTCCTAATACACCTGTTTAAAGGGGGGGGGTACTTATTTATTCTCATTCTTCTGAGGCACCAGAACTTAGCGGCTGGCGCTGAAGATTCTTCGAGCCTATTCTATTGGGAATGAATTATTTAAGCTGTCCTTGCAAGCCAGTCTGGCTTACATCCCAGGCTGTGAGCCAACCATTCAGAGCCACCTGGAGGGCTACGGGAACCTCAGCAGGCTAGGGGCTTGGGGCTTGAGAATGCGCATCTCTAACAAACGCCCAGGAGATGCGGGAGGTTGCAGCTCTAAGGACCTGGGCTTAAGATCCAGGACTGGAAGTGGCTCCAGAGGAGGCTTCATCGCGTGGGACCTTGTCCATGTTTACTAATGAAGGCCTCGCAGCCTGTGCAAGACCAAAGGGAAAAAAGCAACCCAGGTACCCCAGCTGAAGGGTTATCCTGGTTTGGACTTTGCCTTGGTAATAACACACCCACCTATCTGAAAGGCCCATAGTTCCCTGTACCACTTCGAGTCAGTAAGTGGCCGAGGAGACATTCCATGGCAGGGCCGGTTTCTATTCATTTAATTTCCTGAGAGTCTGCGTCAGGTAATGAAGGAGCCACTGTGTTCTGGGCCAGTAGCTCAGCTGGGCTGCTGAGGTCTGCAAAGAGTTTGCACCAGATTGACGGTGTGGTTCTCAGACCCCTTGCTGCCCGAAAAGGCTGCCGCTTGTTTTGGTTGGGACTGGGACTGTGGACACAGGGGGTGGAGACCACTCTGGGGTGGACAGGCGGCGCCCTGATGGTCTGCATCTACCAAACCCTATGCCTTCCAACCACAACTCAGCCTCCAAGAGGGTTTTGTGATCAACAGACTCCTTCCTCTAACTCATCCTCAGTAAATAGGAATCCTTAAAAACCTTGGAGCTGGAGCGCCCGTGTTTCATCTCATATATTAGTCTAGCTGCAGGCTCTTGCAATAACCTGAGAATTCTAAAGGAACCTTGCATATGCTAGGCAAGTCTCTCTCTCTCTCACTTAATTAAAAGCCCTTAAGGCATCACGTCCTTGTTGCAGGCTTAGCTGAGAAGAAAAGAGCCACGTCCACCCTCCATCTCTCTTTACCGGACATTCACTCTCATTTCGGTGGGTTGTCAATCTTTTTTATTTTCATTAAAAAAAAAAAAACCTTCTCTTTTTATCGTTTTTGTTTATGTATGCATAATATCATGGTATTTGTGTAGGTGTTAGTGGACAACTTTGTGGAGTCAATTCTCTCCTTTCACCTTTAACGTGGGCTCTGGGGATTGAACTCAGGTTTTCAGTTTGGCAGCAAACGCCTTTACCGGCTGAGCCATCTTGCTGGCCCCAAACCCTCCTTTTTGACATCTTGGCTCCTTGAGCAGAGTCCAGCCCTCCCTTTTAAAATCGCTTTTCTGAAAAGTTCTCAGTAGCATTCTGGTGTTAGAGAAACCTAGCTGACAGCTCTGCTTCCTGGCCATCACGGTGGCAGATTCTGGGTCCTCCAGGTTCCTGTCCTTTGGTTAAACATCTAATCAGTGCAGGCTAGCCTTGTTTATTTCCTAAGAATGGCAATAGGAAGCCATGAGCTCTGAGACAGACATATCAAGAGAGGCTAGGCATTACTTCATCTCTTTTCCTTCCTTCCTTCCTTCCTTCCTTCCTTCCTTCCTTTCTTTCTTTCTTTCTTTCTTTCTTTCTTTCTTTCTTTCTTTCTTTCTTTCTTTCTTTCNTTCCTTCCTTCCTTCCTTCCTTCCTTCCTTCCTTCCTTTCTTTCTTTCTTTCTTTCTTTCTTTCTTTCTTTCTTTCTTTCTTTCTTTCTTTCTTTCTTTCTGAGTGTGTTTTGTGTGTATGTGGGATGGGTGTGGGAAAAGGTCTGCATTTCCTCCGAGACTTGCTTCCCAGTGAACAAAAACCAAAGATAACAACAAAATAAAACACCCAGAAAAATAATCCCAGAATCCTTTCCATCCCCTTGTTCCATAAAAGACAAGACTTGGGAAAATCTTCCTGACAGTGTAGTGCATGAAAAATGTCCTGGGGGTGTGTGACACAGAAATCTGAGCTGTGATGGGCATTGGGACAAACCAGGACAATGCACGTACTTGTCAGTAGATGCAGATCTGGGGGAGTGGAAACAGAAAACTGAACAAATCGAGTCTACAGTTCAGAGGACCATGCCTTTAACACGGCACTGAGAAGCAGCTGCCGGCATGAATGACTAACATTGCCCCTGCCCGTTCTGTCCAGTGTAGCCTTTCTCTTAAAGATGGGGCTGGGGAGGAGGTTAGCTGATGCTGCGGGAACTGGGGGCACGGGTGGAAAAAGGGTGGAGAAAGTCCAGAATACAATCTAGGTTACACCCGGGAGGAATAATGTGACTTAGGACCATAGACAAATAAAGTCAGCTCGATCCTAAGTCACCGGTTGGGCGTGCTTGCTTCTATTTATAGCCAAGGACACAAGCCACCTGATGACTGATTCGGGGAAAGCAGAGGACTCATGTCCATACAGCCGCTGGCCTGAGCATCCGGGGCTGGGGCGGGGTGGGGGTGGGGGTGGAGGAGGTGGTCCATTCATCATGGCACCAAGCAAACCTTGTTTTCATTTACTGACGATGTGCAGAACTTGTTTAAAATCTTCGCATGACATTAAAGAGAAGCAAACCCAAACCAAAAAGCCAGAACGATACTTTCAGTTAGGGTCATCTAGACACCTAAGTCTCCATCTGCGCTTGACTTCTTAGAGAACCTGTGTATGTCTGATAAGGTTCCAAGTGTTCTCTGCATCAAGGGACCGTAACTCAATAAGATGCTTCCGATAATGTTAAAGTTTGGGATAAATTAGGATGGGTATGAAATCCATCCCACAGAGGACAACGGAGCCCGGTGTATACAGTCAATGAGCATCAAGCAAGTCAAGGTCCTTCTTGGTCAATAGTTCTGTGGTTATTTCAGACCAAGCTTCTATAATTACATCCCTATTAGGCTCACCAGACAGAGGTGTTTCCAATACAGGAAGCACTGACCTGCCCTCCGTTGCTGTCCTTCTAGGTTACACTTGAAGCTGGGTGTACTAAAAACCGAGTCAATGTATTATGAAACTGTTCTCCAAGTTATTCTGGGTCATTTGACTTACCGTACCACTCATCGACCCACGCAAAGGCCTGTCTGTGTCCAATCAGCAGGATGTCTCGGACCACCTGAAGAGGAAGAGAATGATAATACCGGGTAAGATCAAGGCTGTCTGGGTGGGGGAGGAGGGGCTGGAAACAGGGCTCAGGGGGTCAAGTACTGGCTGTGTAAGCATGAGGACCTGAGTTTGTATTTAGCACCCATGTAAAAATTAGATGTGTTATGTATGCCTGTAACTGGAGGGTGCTGGGGAGAGTGGAAACGGGGGTTCACCAGGGGCTCTCTGGCCAGCCAGTCTGGCCTGTCAGTGAGCCCCAAGATTAGTGAGTGAGCCTGTCTCAAAACATACCCTGGAGTCATTGAGAGAGGTCAGAGGGTAAAGGTGCCCATCCGAGTTCAATCCCTGGGTGGAAATGGTGCTGAGAATAGATGCTTGAAAGTTCTCCTGGGACCTCCTCCTGTGCCATGGCACCCCAGCCCTCCTCCCCACTAAACAAACAAATGTCGTTAAGTAATCTAAGAGGAATCTTAAAAAACTAGGGAGATAAAGACAGAGAGAGAGAAAGAGAGACAGAGACAGAGAAAGAGAAGACATTTGGGATGTCAACCTCTGGCCTTCATAAGAGCGTGGATGGGTAAGAAGGCCCCTCCATACATACACAGATAGGCCCCAGATAATAACAAGAAAGTAAAGTAATGTGGAATATTTTAGTTCAGCTGTCTTATTTCCTCTCCCCCCTGTTTTGTTTTTTGAGATAGAATTTCTCTGGGTAACAGCTCTGGCTGTCCTAGAACTTACTCTGTAGACCAGGCTGGCCTCGAACTCAAGGAGATCCACTTGCCTCCCAAGTAGTGGGATTAAAGGCGTGCGCCACCACCGCCCAGATCATCTCTTTCTTAACATTCTATTTCCTTATTTTTATATGTATGAATGTCGTGCCTGCATGTATGTATGTGTACCACATGCAATCGGTGTCTGAGGAAGTCAAACGAGAGCGTCAGAACTCTTTGAACTAGAGCCACAGATGGTTGTGAGCCATCATGTGGGTGCTGGGAACCAAATCCTGGTCCTTTATAAGAGCAGCCAGTGCTCTTAACCACTGAGCCATCTCTCCAGCCCTGTATCTCTTTCAGTAATAGTTCACTATTTTTTCTTCTTATATGAAAACCAATCAAGCCTATAAGGATTTACTTATCTTGTGTCTCACGTAGCGTAGAATGGTGCTTTGTTCACATGTATTTACTGCTCAGTTCCCAACGGAACAAAGGGAAGTGCTCCTGACACCCCCAACATACTTGCTCCAGCCTATGGGCATCCAAGAGGAACGGCTGGACAGGATGTGGGTGCAGGGGACAGCCTATCAGGGAGAAACGAGAATGCTAACGGACTGTGGTGGTTTGAATGATAACGGCTCCTATAGACTCTCAGGTTTGAATACTTGGTCCCCAGCTGGTGGAACTGTTTGGTAAGGATTAGGAGGTATGGCCTTGTTAGAGGAGGTGTGTTACAGAGGGTGGGCTTTGAGGTTACAAAGACCCATGCCATTCCAGTTAGCTCTCTTTCTGTCTCGTGGGTAAGATGTAAGCTCTCCTCTACTGCCCTAGTGCCATGCCTGCCCGTCTGCTGCCATGCTCCCTGCCATGATGGGCATGAACTAACCCTCTGAGACTGTAAGCAAGCCCCCAGTTAAACACACTCTTCTATGAGCTGCCTTGGTTATGGTGTGTCTTCACAGCGAGAGAAGTCACATAGGCCATGATCTTTGCTACTCAGACAAGTGTCTGTTTCCATCAAGACACATATACTCCTTGGTAGGAAACATAGGCTCTGTACTAGTTGAATGTCAGGGTGTTGAGCCCAGAGAAGTCACCCCAGTTACTGCTGAGCGAGTGTCCAGGAGCCATCAGTAGTTGGTACACACCTTCAGCCTGACTTACAAGGAAGATGGAGCCATTTCTGTACATCCCTGTAGGATGGGAGAGGGTTGACCAAGAGCAAGCACTGAGCTCTTGAGATAGTTCAGCGGGTGGCTTGCTTGCCGTGTACCCCGACAATCTAAGCTTCATCCCTGGAACCTGTGATTGAAGGAGAGAACCAGCTCGTGTCCTCTGATCTCCACAGCACGCCATGGCAGTCACGGGCAATAATCATCAACACAAGGTTTCCAAAAGAAAAGACAATGACCTCATTTGCGTATGTCAGCCTTTGGTGCCAGCACATACGGACAGAAGGATTAAGAAACCGACAGTTGTCAAGATCCTCCAAATTGGGACCCACCTGCTTCACAGATAGGTGGGTTTTTTTTTTTTTGGTCTTTTTCTGTGTGTTTGTGTGTATGGTGTGTGTAGTGTGTGTGGGAAGATGTGCACGCCCATGGGGAGGTTGGAGTAGGATCCCAAGCATCTTCTTTTTTTGCTCTCTGCTTTATTGCCTTGAGACAGGGTTTCTTAGTGAACTGGAAGCTTGAAGCTTGAACCTCCTAGGCTTGCTGACTGGACAACAAACTCTGGGGAATTGGCTGTCTCTGCCCTCCAGAGCTGGAGTAATAGGCATGTGTAGTCTGAACTCAGGTTCTCATACCTGCATAGCCTGCAATTGTTCCTTAGGGGGAAACTGGGATTGAAGGCTAAAGAAGAGTCTACTATGTGCACATGTGTGTGTAGATATACGCGTGCACACACACACATACACAAACACACACACATACACACATATTGTATGCATTGTTTGTGGGCATGTGTAGTACCACTTATGTGCTTTTATTTCATGGGTCACCTTTTCATTCCGCATAAATATGCTTGTGTGTGACTGCACCCACCAGTGTCTGTACATGAGAAAGGCCGTGGGCTGATGTTGGAAGCCATCTTCTATTGCTATGTAATCTATTTAAACTCTTTTATATTAACTTTGTGTGTGGGGGGGGACAGCATATATGTAATAGTTGGAGAACATCTTGCAGAAGCTACTTCTCTCCTTCCTCCAAACGGGTTCTAAGGACTGAATTCGTGTCAGCAAGCTTGGTGGTTAAGTGCCTTGCCCATTGAACCATCTTGCCAGGTCCCATCTTGTTTTTTGAGACAGGGTCTCTCATTAGACCTGGAAGCCACCACCAACTGACTAGACTGGCTGAATAATAGGAGTCCAAGGGTCCCCCGGCCTCATCTGCCCCAGGGCTAGCTAGTGTTATTATACATACATATGCTAGCTAGTGTATCATACATACATATGCATTACCATGCCTAGACCGAGCTTTAATGTCGGTGCTGGGGATCTCAGGCAGCAAGCACTTTACCTCTCGAGCCATCTCCTTGGCCCATAAATATTCCTTATTACATTTCTTGGAAATTCACAGGCTGCCTCCAGCGTTCCTTCTTTTCTTTTTGCCAAACAAACCCAGTGATTGTCAGAAACCTCTCCTGGAAGGCTGAAGTGTGTTTCGACAAGCAAAGGGTTTTAACTGGGTGGATGTGCAGGAACAAGGGAAGCGTTTTCTAATGAAGTGTTTATGCCTCTAGGCCTCTGGGTATGTGGTGGGGTCCTTTTACGATTTGGATGTGGAGCCATGTAGTAAATTTAAGAAATACCATGCAGCCATACACACTCAAGTGCTGACTCTGTCAAATTCATGGAAATCAAAGGAACAGCATAAAGGCGCTTGTAAACCCACCCTATCATATGAAGCACAACACAGCTGTGGCTGGCAATAAGGCTTCAATAATGCGTTAATGGCTGGCTTTTGAATACCCCCCCTCCCCACTGTGAACAGATTCTTAAAAAAACAAAGGTATTTAGAACCCCTCCTTCAGTCCATGTAAATACCCCCTCATTAGCAGAGCAGGTGTGTTGGGGGTAGGGGCCTATACCACTTCATTTGGTTTGGAATTGGGCAAGGGAGTGAAATTCCTATGACCAAAGCATCACCTTCACAGGTATCTTAAAGAAATGGCTTCTCAGAACTAGCCAAAGGCATCATGAAGGAAACAAAGTGAGCTCTGGGCAATTTAAAGACGTTTCACGAGAGAAAATCAGATGCATGACCGCTATATAATGAGTCTCTAGTTAAAGGAGATGGTTTTGGAAAAACAAAACCAACTCTACCACAGAAGGGAGGGTAGGAGGCACGCGTGGTGACACACACCTGTAATTCCAGCACTTGGGCACTGGAGGCCAGCCTTGGCTACGGAGTGAGTTTGAGGCCAGGCTGGGCTGTATGAGACCCTCCTTCGGAAGAATAAAACAGGAGCTGGAGACTTGGCTCAGTGGTTAGGAGCACTTGTTGCTCTGGCTTAGGAGCTGGGTTGGATTCCCAGCACTCATATGGCAGCTGACAACCAGCTGTTGCTCTTCTGACCTTGGCGGACACTGGGCGTACTTGTGGTGTCCATCCATCCATCCGTCCATCCATCCATCCACCCATCCATCCATCCGTCTGTCCATGCATGCAGGCAGAACAGTCAAATACATAAATAGACAAATTTTTGAAAAGAATAAAAGTAAAAGAAGAAAAAATGAGGGAGGGAGAGGGAAGGAAAGGCAGGGAGAGAATCTAAGTAAGAACGAGAGGTGGATGCAGACATAGATTTAGGCTGCATCCTATTTACTCTGGGTTGTCTTCCTGCTCCGTACCCAAGCTCAGTACACAGAAACAGGAGGTCTCCGTGACAGTGGATTAAGATTGTCACCTCGACAGCTGGAACTGAAGAGTCCAGGAATAAGAAAATAAAAATGTAGATTCCAGAAATAAGAATGTAGGAATAAAGAAATATAAAGTTGTAAGCCTAGGAGAATGAGAGCAGACTGTTAGCAGCTTTCTCAGCAGCTTGAGGATTGACTGTTAACAGTGGGTTATTTCGCTTTACAACACATAGCTCTATTACAAGGCCAAAGCATCTCTCTGCAAACTGAGAGCTAGCCTGCGGATTTGAGTTGAGTCGACTTTTAGGAGATAGATCTATGACCTCTGGGTTATGCATTTTCCCTGCTCTGTGAAACTGGCAGCACCAAAGGGGAGAGCGCAGGGCTTCAGTAAACACTGCCTGAAGTTACCAAGAAAGACAACAGATTAAGTGCAAACCCTAGTTTAACTAAAAAACTCTGATAATGGAGACTGTTAAAGTAAGGCAATCTGTATCTGAGTTTACCTTGTGATTGTAAAGACCTAATGCTTGATGCCACTACTATAAAAGATAGGTTCAGACACCGACTTCTGCCACAGCCTAACCGCCCCCCCCCATCCCCAAAACAAACCTCTGGCTGTGGTCTCAGCTAGCTATAAGCTCTTTGTGCCCCATGGAGATTTCTTATTTTATTTTTTTCCTGGTTTCTGGAACAAATTTTGCTTCTGGTTTATTAGACTTTGGTGGTCTGTCCCCATCTTTGCATGATCCCCCTGGATCCAACAAAATTACCTGGGAAGAGAGCCTATTAGGATGACCTATGCGCGTGCTTGTGAAGGATTTTTATTTTTATTAAGACAGGGTCTCACTATGTAGCCCTGCTTGTCCTGCAATGTGCCATATAGACAAGGCTGGGCTTAAGCTCACAGAAATCTGTATGTCTCTGCCTTCCAAAGGCTGCAATTAAAGGTGTCCACCACCATGCCCAGCGTGAAGGATTTTTATTAACTGCTTTAATTGCTGTGGGGGAGACCTGCCTATCGTGGGTGGCACCATTCCTTAGGCTTAAGTTCTGACCTGTGTGAGAGCAGAGGAAGTGAGCTGATCAATAGCCATGTGCGCATTTATTTATCTCAGCTCTTGACTGTGGCCATGACGTGACCAGTTCATGCTCCTGTGATTTCCTCACAAGGATGGACTGCAGCCGGAATTGTAAATGAAAATAAAAACAAACCCTCTCTCGGCCAGGTTTCCTGTGGTCAGGATGTTTTCTCACAGCAACAGAAACACAACTAGGGTAGCTTCTGGCTTTGACCGCTCTGCACCTCACCCTGTTCCCTCTTCTGGCAGGTGGGACGTGTGTGGACCCCAGCAGAGAACAACATGCTTTTCATGTACGGAAATCTCAAGGCCCTCAGACCCACAGAAACTGTTCTTACCGCCAGCCTGGGTGGTGAAGGGCACAGAAGCGGCCCAGTGATTCTGCAGTTCTACCTTCAAGAATGAGACTTTCTAGCCAGACGCAAGATGCGCACCTGTAAATCCCAGCTACCAGGGAGATGGAGGCAGGAGGAGCTTTAGACCAGCCTCAGCAGTACAGTGAGATCTCCTCAAAACTCAAGAACAGGCCTGCACATGGCTATTGTCGTGACCCCTGTCTGCAGACAGGTTCAGCTAAGTAAGAAAGACTCAGTGCCTGAAGGGAAAACAACGGGTTGACAAAGGAATTCTGGAAAGCTATTCTTTGTTAGTTATTAGCAGAGAAACAGAGAGCCAATTTTTCTAAAATATAGAGGAAAAAACTTAAAGTATTTTGTTCTTGTTTGTGTGTGTGTGGGGGGGGCAGAGTCATAGAAACATCTTGTAGCCCAGGATGGCCTTGAACTCACTATGCAGTTCAGGATGAATTTGAACTTCTGATATTTCTGCTCCTACTTTCAGAGCGCTGGGATTACAGCTGTGCACCATGATTGGCTTACGCAGTACTGAGGATGTAACTCGGGGCTGCATGCACGCTAGGCAAGTAACTGCCAACAGGGCCACATCCCAGCCTCTGTGATGCTGGGAATTGCTTATGTATTTGTTTTAAAAATATATTTTATCTTTATGTTATTTACTTATTTGGTCTTTTTCTTTTTTCTTTTATATAGTTTCTGTGTGTGTTTTTTTTTTAATATTTATTTATTTATTTATTATGTATACAATATTCTGTCTGTGTGTATGCCTGAAGGCCAGAAGAGGGCACCAGACCCCATTACAGATGGTTGTGAGCCACTATGTGGTTGCTGGGAATTGAACTCAGGACCTTTGGAAGAGCAGGCAATGTTCTTAACCGCTGAGCCATCTCTCCAGCCCTTAGTTGGTCTTTTTCAAGAAAGAGTTTTTCTGTCTATCCCCGACTGTCCCGGAATTTGCTCTGTAGACCAGACTGGTCTCGAAATTAGAAATACACCCACCTTGGCCTCCTGAGTGCTGAGATTAGAGGCGTGCGCCACCACTGCCCAACTGTTTAAAAATATATAACACATATTCATTGGGGTGCGTACACACGCTCACACAAGCCTCAGTGCGTGTGCAGAGGTCAGAGGATAACTGTGGGCATCGGTTCTCTCCTTCTATTGTGCAGGTCCTGGGGATTGAACTCAGGTTGTCAGGCTTGGCCACAAGTGCCTCATCACTGAGCCATTTCACCGGCCTCATTATTTATCAAATATGCAAACGAAAGCAGTCACAGAGGGCACTGCTCGGTAGCTCGCGTCCCATTATTTTAGAACCGCGTGGAGAAGAGTTGTATTTGAGATCTGGGGAAAACTGGTGTCATCATCAAGTCAGCCCCTGCACCAAAGCTAACCCGTTTTCCAAAGTGAGCGCACGGTTAAAAATCTGC